TTCGGATCGATCGATAACAGTGTTCTTTTGCTCAGATTGTGCATGATGGGGCAGTCGTCGGAAATCCGGTCGTATTAACTTGACTGCCTGCATACATCTTTTTTTTGAGCACATGGACTGTGGTTATGAAGACTATTACTGACTACCTCGGCTGTGGCTAGAATGCAAACCCTCACATGTCTAGACCGTTCCGTTTTAATTTTAGGTCATTAAATGTCATTAATAAAACGGTCTACACAGATAAGCTCTAAACCCGATTCACATTTAGCCAGTTGGTGTATCTACGGTTGGAGGATAGAACACCCGATTCGGCTGCCTCTATTTGTATTAACCCTTTAATTTGCTCCTATGGAGCGAAGTATGTTGACCGCATGAGCAGGCTTTTGTCCGAGCCCATTCGTGAGCATCACCCTGCGTGGTCGTATCGCACTAAAACTAATCAAAACATCACCGAAGCGTTCCAACCCTTGTATACAGTCATAACGAAAAGGTCTAGACACGTGCAGTTTCGCATTCTAGCCACAGCGGAAGTAGCTAGTATCTGTCTTCACAACCCCCTCTATGTGCTCGAAAACAATTGATACATACACTCATCCTCCAATGGGTGGACTGCGGACAATTGACCCGTCTTGATACATCCGAGCGAATGATTATTTGGGATCAATTATGACACAAACAGTGTTCTTATTTGTTAACAATAAACAGAGTTTTTATTAGGCTATTCTTTGGCGTTTTTCTAAGAAAGTTGAAATTCCGGGGCTAATTTCTAATTGCTTTTACTGATATGGAACCATTCCAGACAAATTGAATACCAAATTTGTATAAATCTCTTAGATATTTGACTCACAAGTAACTGTGAGTTAACTGCGAACTATCAATCAAGCTTAGTAGGTTTGTGGCAAGTCCTGAGTTGGTGATAGGCTTTCGGTTGAAGTTTACAGATACTCAACTGTCTCCCCTCGTTGCTGTCGGTCGAACAATGAACCGACAGACTATCACTGAAGACGACACCGGGGACAAACATAAATTGGCAATTCTATCCAGCCCCGGGTATGAGTTGGTTGGCGCAGTGATAATACACACACCTTCAAAGCCCGGACAGAGATTAGCTATACACTACTGATGAGCTCTGATAAGGGTGGAACTCGAGTCCAGTGCTTCCGGTGCATCGTTGATAGGATGAGCTATGGATTGTACGTGAAGGTGAAGTCTCGAAGGATAATCAGTTCAAATCAAATCAATATCAACTATTCCAAACCACTACTCACAAGTAACTGTGAGTTAAATGCGAATTTAAGATTCTCTAAAGTCTGATATTTGCATAATGACGGTATCACCACATATCCATGATGTACCACTGACCGTAAATTTCGAACTAAATAACTATCGGAGAGAATTTAAAAGTTCAGCATAGTGTGTGCGTGTGTGTGTGTGTGGAAGTTTCGCGTACCAACAGAATTTGACCATAAAAAGGTCGGTGAAATAAATCCTGAGAGTGAATCAAAATTATCCAGCCATTTTTTGTGCCTCTCAAATATGGGTAATCCCACACCAAGTGTTCTGGATCGCTCTGCTCCGTTTTGTAACCCGTAAAGTCACCCGAATGGGTCAAGTGTCTGCCTGGAAATTGGTACTTCAAGTTTGAACGTGAACACTATAAACGTAATTGAATGATTTTTGTGAGAGAAAAAGTTTGCTAGTAAGACAGAAGTCCGCTGTAGTCATCATTCATGTTCGCTACTCAAAACAAATTTTGAGGAGCCTTAATACCTTACCTTCTATTCCTAAATTGGGCAATCACACAGAACGGAGCACGTTTAGTGTGTACATTTGTGTGTGTCACCTGTTTCATTCGAACGCGATATATGTGATAATCACGTGATCGTGGAGGGACCCACGGCTGCATTACTTTGACCCGATTCAAAACATGTCACGTGAACTAACCATCTACTTGCACTTCGATGCTACAAACCTCAAGATTAAGCGATTTCTTGAAATCCATACCCGACCGCGTTCCTTCTCTAGAATAGACAAGCTAAATATCTGGGTAATTAGTAGACATATTCAAAAATTTAATATGTAATCGGTCAGAAAAAAGAGTTTAGAACAACTGTTTGTCAGTGAAAAATCATTTCAGTTAACTTAATTCAATCAGAAGAATTCCGTTATGCAAGTCCTGGTCATGTAGAACATGTTGGCTCGGGGCCATTCAAAGTTAAAACAGACCGATTGTTAAATAACAAAAACCCTCTCCCATCTATTCCTAAAAGAAAAAAATTTTAACGCACATTCCATCCTCCAAAACCTGCTTGGTTCTCGTTTTTCCCTTGATGATTTTTCTGTTCGGAACTGATTTGGTGGCATCGGTAAAAATTCATACTTTCCACGAACTATCAGATTGATGTCGATCGTAGGTTTGATACTATCTCTTTAGTTGGCTTCAAACATTGATCATCTGCCAAGGACCCGAACGTTTGAAATTGTGGAAACAAGCCGTATATCGACTACATTGATCAATTCATCCATGTTAGTCACGATTTATTTTTTAACCCCAGAAAGTAATCGATCGAATACAAGCTCTCATTTGCTTTAGACGAGTGAATCTCAATGGTTTAAACAATCAGTTTTGAAGTTCAAAATATACGGAAATTTATTTATCAATCAGAAGCTGGAGGCCCTGAAAGTGTTAGCAGAGCTAATGTTCATACAGAGCTGCGTGGGATTTTGTGGAAGACAGTGATAAACATTCTTTTCAAGAGAAAATTATTTTAGTAGCATGACAGATAGGGATTTGAGAATAAAGCGTATATAGACAAAATCAAACAAAAATTCAACAAGAATGGTATTATCTATGAATAGAGCATGTGTTTTCGGGATCAGCACAGTGAGTTCCCGTGAGATAGGTGTGATCTTCAAGAAAAATCACCTTTGTCGTTGTCCCTATAGATGTGATGGAGCTTGATGCACCTGGCGGATCCTTTTTATTGAATACTTACAACGTAACTAGTATTGACAGATTGAACAGCGGTTGCTTAGATTTTTGGTCAAAGATGAAATGTACTACTAAATGACAAGAGTGAGCATGTGGGTAGAGCAGCTGTCTTCAGACATGAAAATCGCAACTCTCTGCTACTTCTCAGTAGTTCTGCGAGGTACGTTTTCGACATGGTAAACGATCTTCTTTCAGGCTCCCTCTTTACTCACAATCCTCCATTCGTCCAATCACCTGTACTGCGCTATCGATTGGCCAATTAATCAGAAAATTTGTTGTACCCAAAACTGGATTTTCGCCTCTAGTAGTAGATGACGCAAGTTCTGTTCCGTGTTCTGTGCTCTTGATTGAGGGTGGTGTACCACAAACATACGTGATTGAGTGTTCAAGATGGAGGATGACCTCTATGGTGACCAATGGTTGTCACTTGTGTCTTAGTTAAAACAATGAGTGAAGATGCCAGTGGACTTGTTATGAGGTCNAGAAAATGTGATACGTTTTCGAAGTTGATACTGTGAATAACAGATTAGGAAAGGAAAGTTACTTTAACGGATAAGATAATTGAAATTTTCTTTGTCGTAGAATATAACTGCTTAATTCAAATGCGCGTAGAACTGAGTGTTGTATTCTGCCAGAGGACGATGACAGTTAGATTTTTCACCTGTTTATTAAAAAACCCAACTGTGGAGAATTACGAAATAGCAAAATTCTGAAACTTAAAGCATGAAGAAGGGTGAATCACATACAAAAAGGGGACAACCTTGCCTCTCCCATTTATTTATTTATCATCATTGCCATAACTTGTCGAAAGTGCGGTTGGCTGTACGACCCCCAGCCTGAGAATGGAATGTATAAACACCTTGAGAATAACCGTTTGTATCGATGAGGTGTTTTGGCCACATCAGCACTACTACACCCCGCATTCGTAAATTCGCTGGATCTCCTTTTCATTTAGGTGACTCCTTCGGTCAGTTTTGCGATTTTTTCACTCACTCATGAGTAAAATAAACCTAATATTGTGCTGTTGTGAGTTAAAACTTATCACATTCGCATAGAAGAAAATCTTCTGATTTCTTCCATCGTACCTTAATTGATTGAAAGTTCAACTTCATCTCAAAATGACGAATTCACTTTTGTGATTTGTCCTCCTTCAGTTAGTTTTGCAATCTCATGCAATAAGCCCACGAGTTTCTTTTGTTTTTTATCACATTCTAAGGTGAAATATACTACAGATTACGTCCGATTTTTCGAAATGTATGAGTCGTCAAAATATAACCATTTGGGGTTTCACCAGGGTTTGAACATTTCAGAGAACTGAGAACAAGTAACTTTTCCAAAATGATTGACTTTTATTTAATTTGTAATGATCTGTTATTGACTTTGGTAGAACATACATCAGAATTCATTTTCGCAGTTATTGTTCATTTCATTAAACTTAAATCAAAGTTCCTTATAATTTATTGGTAAAAAAAGATCACTTCAGGGCTTGGACACTGGATTTCTAGCATAGAAGACTTGTGTTATCATTCAAGCAAACAGACCACACCAATATTAGGCAATCACCGATTAGACTTTCAATCAGTCAGTTAGTTAGTCAATCAGTCAGTCAGTCTGTCAGTCAGTCAATCTATCAGTTAATCATTGTGTGTGCATTTGAATTCAGAATTTATAGCTTTTGTACCATTTTGCGCACCGGTATACTGATTTGCTGACTGAATGATAAGTATTTTAATTTATTTCCAATATTGTTGCATTGTTTCCTTCCTTTTTGTATAATCACCAAACACTTTTAACGTAGGTTGGCTAACAGATCATGTGACCACTATCCATTTAGAAATCAGTCTTATGGGTTGGATCAAACAACTATGTCTGTTTGTTCACTTTAGGTGCTTTCATTCTGTTGGATATACTTTTGGAGCAAATGCGTCATGAAAAGGCAGTGGATGTTTTCGGTGCCGTCAGTCGTCTTCGATCACAGCGAAATTTCATGGTCCAGACTGAGGACCAGTATGCATTTGTCTATGAAGCACTGGTTGAGGCTGCGGCAAGCGGGAACACGGAACTCAGTGTGCGTCAGCTCTCGGCACATTGGGCTCGGTTGATTAAAACGGATAGCACAGTGATACGGGAATTCACCAGTGAAGAAAATCCATGTACAACCGGTCTAGAACTGGAGTTCACCCAACTGGTAGCTCAAACACAAATCTCCCACGTGACTTTGTATCTATCCCGAGCTAATGTTGGTCTCCTATCGCCAATTGACCCCTTCTCCGGACACGACGAGGAACGTCTTCAAACAGGATTGACCACAACCACTGTCTCTGGTCCCGTATCTCCGCGATTTGTCTCATCTGAATCGGGGACGTTGAAACCGAACGCTGCGCTAGCACGAGTAAGTCAGATCTACTCGCGCACCAAAACAGAAATCCATGGCACGTGTGATTGACAGTGTAGCTTAACAAAAACACCGAACCGCAACAAAATCACAGACTAGGAACCTTTGCATAATTTAATGGACATCTGTCCAAGCTGTGCACATCAATCCCGACGTTTCATGCACACCCGGGGGAATAAAAAAATGGACTAATAATAATCGGATGACCAAGTCTATCAGTCTGTTCTGTCAAACTAAGTATGGGTATGGAAGTGAATAGCTTTCTTAAATGCCCTCTTCTCAAGTCGTCACGTCACATGAATGATCGTTCTTGCGTTCCGCATTTACAGAACTATTTTGAAAAGCGATCACAGTGTACTAGAAGAGAGGATGGATGTGATGAATTCAGCTGACATTTTTCATTTCCTCTTAGTACAGTACTGTGAGCGCATAGACTCTTGCGGCCTGGCTGAGAGGTGGAGGGAACCGATGATTGATTATTCTCATCCGGGTCAT